TCAATTCTTTCCCCAAAAATCCCTCACAAACAAGCACTAAGCTTATTTGTTTATCTGATTACAAGTTAAATCTAAAGCTCAGCTTTTCAATGGACCTAAAACTTATGTCACCTCATGAATTTACTATCAGATCCAATTAAAACTTCGTGTGCTTGATTTTCGGATAGATTACTTTTACTACAGACCTTCTTGTTAGTGCTTTTTGCGTGATTGAGGAATTAAGGTTATGATGCTTCGCGTGTATAGAACGGATACCTTGAAGAGGCATCTTCCTTTCTCAGGACAGGAGGGGCTGCAGGAACTCAAGAAAATAGCCATAAGGTTTGAGGAAAAAACTTTTGCTAGTGCAACAAGTCAGGTATATCTATCACACAAGCTTCTCTTGATTTTTTTTTTTTTTTTGCATTTCGAACTATACCTTTCACATGATAGCGATTTGCATTGATGTTATCTGTTAGCTCCTAGCAGTACAAGTTTTTCGTGATTATGTTTTCTGTCTTAATAATTGATCAACAACGTGTTCTTGCAGTCTGATTACTTAAGAATTATATCTCTGAAGATGTTGACATTGGAGACAAGATCGCAGAATCCCACCGACAATTCTATCCAGTTCAATGCTGCAGGCAATACTAGCCAAAACACCCATGATCCAGGTAATGGCGATTCCTGGTATATACAAAATATTTGATATGTGGTTGGTTATCTTGTGTTTTTGATATCTTGTGTTTTTGAAATGACCGGACAGTATTCTCATCGTGCTTTACTTTTAATGGATAAAATGAATTTAGTCATGTTTCGTTGTTTAGGAAAACTGTCAAATACTTGTGGGTTACGATTGGTGTATCAAATTAGATCGTATATTTGAAGATTTATCTACTCTTTGCACTTGCAATGCATGTTAAATAAATCGTTTATTTTTATGTTCGTGTTATGTTTTATTTTTTCAAACTTATTTTCACATAAATGTATATACAAGTTCAAGTTCATTTATGCTTAATGTGTGACGGAGAATTCATAAATTATAAATAAA